TACCAGTGTATGTACTGGAGGAACTTGTTCTATGCACGCTTTTATAAATGAGACCCCGGGCGCATATATATCCGGCTACCGAGCACTTGCGCACCAAGTGGTTAGTCAAGGTGGTTAGTCAAGTGATATGGCTCTGTGAAAGTTATCCCCTTTTACAAAACAGCATTTCAGTTTCTAACATCCACCCTAAGTCCATTATTTTATTAATTGATTAAATATTAGGATAAAAATAACATAATTTTAAGTGGCAAATCTCTTCAGTCTGTATTGTGATCAAAGTATTTCACCATTCTTCTGCTGTGCAATAGTCCGTTCAATATCATTCATTTGGCGTAGTGATCCTTTCTCCTCCTGTGGAACAGAAGTAGCTTCTTCAATTTCTCTTGAATCCCATGGGAAAAAATCACCACTGTCCACTGCACAACTGCCACACTTCATGATAGTTAACACCCAGTGTCTGAATTTTTCTGAAAAGCAGAAATAGATCAGAGGGTTGAAGCAGGAGTGAAGGAAACCTAGAACACCTGTGCTTCTCACTGCAGTCCACTTGTGATCTTCACAATCTCCCTTGGATTTGCTGGATGAAAAATGGAAAGTGTCCCCTAGCAGAGCAATGCTGTAGGGTGTCCAGCTGATGAAAAAGGCCAACACGAGGGCAAGAATGACGGCTCTCTGCTTCTGCACACGCTGATCAGATCTGAACTGCAGCAGGACACATGCATAAGAGTAGAGCAGCACTATGGCAGGAAGCAAAAAGCCTAACACAAGGTAAAGCAACTGTGAAGCCAGACGTGATGCTTCAGATGAGTACTCATACAGACACTCATTATAATCCTCTTGCTCAGAGCCACTTGCAGCCTTCAGGTACATCCAGTCAGGGATGGAGAGAAGAAGACAGAAGAACCAAACAGCCATGCAGATGAGCTGCACCTGCCAGGGCCTTGTGCGTGAGCACATCTGCCCTGCATGAGCTACGGAAAAGTATAGATCCAGGCTGATGCAGACCAGCAGGAAGATACCGCAGCAGAAGTTGATCTATGAAGGAGAGAAGAGAAAAAGTTCAATCTAAATGTTCACATTAACAGCAAACCAGTTATTTCCATTGGAATATGCACCTTGACATGGCTATCAATATATGATGCTATCTGCTTAAATCTTATATTCAGAGAAGAGGCCCATTTTAAGACATATTGCAGTAGTGGTGCGAATATCTGATTTGGGTTAGGGTTAGGGTTAGGGTTAGAGTTTATAACTGACTCTGCTCTTAGCGTGAAGTAGTATGCCAAAAGAAAACAAAGGTGTTTTCTCTGGTGTTTGCCAGATATATTTCTTCTTAAAAAGCAAGCCACGCTGTTTCTTGTAAAATTTGGAGAAAATCGTATAACCCTGGTTGAGCAAAGATAAAACACGACAATAACCAGATTTAATGATTGAATAGACATGTTCATGATTTTTGTCCAATAATAATTTTTAAAGAAAGAGAAATGGAAACAATATATATTTTCAACAAATAACACTATAATATGTATAAATTCTCTAGTAACTTACACTTTGTCTACTATCATTTCTTAGCAGAATTAAATTCATTATTGCTCATAAGTGAGAACAGTGCAAGACTTCACAAGCCCATATAAGATAAATAATCAACTATGTATTTCCTTATTATGGGAACACAGCTTAAAATAAGAAACACACCCAGAAACAAGCAGCTGCTTATGTCTGAATAGAAACTTAAGCAGGTGTCACATTGTTTTCTTGATATACATACAGTTTGCCTTTTGAAGAGTATGGACTTTTTGTCAATTATGGAACACTATATCTTTTTTTTTTTTTTTTTTTTTTTTTTTTTTTTTTTTTTTTTTTTTTTTTTTTTTTTTTTTTTTTTTTTTTTAACTACGACTACATATTATTTCTTCATATTTTAACCACTTTTAATTTCCAAAAGGTGTACATATTTTGCCTTATTGCCATCTTCAGTGATGAAAATTAAGTGTTTTTTAATCAACAACAATTTGTCAGTGGTTTTTGTTGACAAGATGAACATTGCTTATAAATGCTCACTAGCCTCTCAGCTTAGATTAAAATATAACTTACTTCCTAAGTAGTACTCTTGTGCCAAAGATCATATGACATACTGATAGCAGCATTTTGATAGTTTCTATCTGGATGTTTCTTTTTAAAAATCACTCGTAATATAAGAATAGCAATACTGTAATATTTTATCATACAGAATGTGAAATATAAAATGGCATAGATTATAAAATGTATATGCCCTTTCTACTATCTCACTCTGCCCACCGGTCCTCTTCTCACACACACACACACACACACACACACACTTATTTCAAATTTAGTCTTAATTCTTGATATCCATGTTTGCAAATTTGCCAATACTCACTTTAGTAATATCCTATTGATCAGGTGATGACCAGTATTGTTTATCATTATCTTGGTATTACTTGGACTGAAAAGAAAACCAGTGATATTGCCCGTCCCTAAAAATGTATACATTGTCACATTGTATTAGCTAGCTAAATTTAACTACCAAAATGACTTCTAGCAATTGGCAAACACAAACATGGGTAAAAAAATTACACTGGATTAAAAAATGTGAAAGTAGTACTGTAGCATTTTCCTGTTCAATGTATTAATAGTGATAGTATTTTGAAGCATCCTCGATATCAATATCAAGCCCACTGAATATCATACATATGAAATAACCAGCTATTAGCACGTGTCAAAAAAAAAAAATGTGTGTATCCCTCTGAACCACAATGACACTTCAGTTTCAGCTCCTGTACACTGGATTACTTCCCTACCAGCTATTAGCATATGTCAAAAAAAAATGTGTGCATCCCTCTGAACCACAATAACACTTCAGTTTCAGCTCCTGTAAACTGGATGACCTCCCTACCTTAAAAAGCGCTCCAGCCAGCTTGCAGAATCCAGTGCCAAAGCTCCACCCTTTCACAGCATCCGCTGCCCATAGTGGCAGGGTGAGGAGAAGGAGCATGTCGGCCATGCTCAGGTGAAGCACGAAGGCATCTGTCACACTCCAGCTGCGCCTCTTCTGCCACAGCACAACCAGCACCAGGATGTTACCCATCAGCCCCAGCACAAGTGCCACAGAGTACAGAATGGAGACGAATATGGCCACAAAGGACGTCGTCCTGGTGCAGTCCGATTTATATTCATAGTCGCTGTAGTCGAAGGTACTGTTGTTTTCAAACAGCCCGTGCAGGTCGAGCTGCATATTTGACAAGAAAAAGGACAAAAATATTTATTCAGACAAGTGCACTGATTGAAAAGTGTATGTGATTTGATGGGAGGGCATTGGTGAGAGAGTATTTATGCTTTATTAAGTACCAGTCACATGTCACATGGTTGGGTTTCCCAATCTGAGTCAACAGTGTAAGACAGTTTCCTCTCTACAGGGTGTAGCAGCTGACCACATTTGAAAAAAACATGAGATACACACATGCACACTCATGCACACACCCAAAGTGTGCTCACACGTATTTTTGTAAACTACACGCAACTTCAGTAGGCTTATATTGTCAGATAAAAAAAAAATAACTGTCAAACACAGGAATGCTTGTTATGCTTTTTAAATTCCAGCTGAGAGGTGTCCACATGTCAGAGGATCACTCTCAGTTGCTGGCACTAATTCACCTCTTAGGAATGCACATCTGAAATACTTTCTGAGGAGACTTAAGAATGTCAGTCTACTCCAACAGTGACTATTGATCTTTTATTGTTGAATACACAAGCATATTCAGCGGCAATTCCACCCTGAAGCACATTAAATATGTTTATAGTGAAATGGTTGTGTTGTGCTTAGTGATTCTGCTGCTGAACTGTTGGTTGGTGCTGCATTTTCATTATTCCTGTGAAAAGTTAGCAGCTGTGTGTAACACTGATTCCACGGGGGCTTGCTAGCGCAGTTACAACACCCTTGTAGAGCAGAGAAAAATGTCAGATCTCAGATATGATCCGTCCTCAGTCACTATTTTTCTTCGACATCCAATGGCATATTATTGAGAACTCCAGTGCAGAAGCAGTAGTGAAATGTTTGGACTGACTTTCAGAATGCAGTGTCGCTATACGGCAGAGATATGGCAGAGACTCGACTCAGCTTACTGAATTACAAGATGACAAACACAACAGCATTATTAACATAAAGTGGAACTCTGGAACTTTATGTGTTTGAGCACAGTGTACAGATGAGGAGGTGAGAGAGCTGGACAGACTGGAGAACTAAAATGCTGCTGCACCACTCTCTTTAAGTAGAGATGATTCACTTCCACTGGCACCATCAGCAGGTAGTCAGATGACATTACAGATAATGTAGAAAATCATTAACCAAAGTGTAAACAAGGCGTTTAAACGAAACTGAAAGTAAGAAGTTAAAAAAAACCCCCGCAAAACTCAGAATTAACAACTATTGGACACAATTGAAGATTATTAATTAAATATAATATCGATTACCTTGCTGAAAACAAAACAAAACAAAACAAACCACACAGAAATTCGAATGGTTTCCATTACAAACCATCAGCTAACCATTAAAACCATTAAAGCCATTACTGGTCCTTAATGGTATCCACTAGACATAACATGCCACCAATAGAAGGCAACAAATTACTAGTAGAGACCCACAGGGACCATTACAGTTTCCATTAAAACCAATACAACTCCCATTATAACCATTAAAAAAACCATGACAAATTCTGTGAGGGTTTCTATTGTTTTTTTCAGCAGGGGATTTATAAATATTAGCATGCACGTCGTTCAGGGTGGATTTTTTCCCCTTTAAATCATTGCAAAACTTTCAGCAGTGCCCAACTCAAACGCAACATTATTATTATTTTACATATTTACAAAATGTTTTCCTTACTACACAAGATTCAGTAAGAAGTTTCCTGCCGTCACCTGTTTGCCTTATTACTTATCATTTGCGTTCATTTGCCGCTATTGCTACAACGCTCACCGCGTGAGGAAGTGGTAGCTCAGTGGTTAAGGCGTTGAGCTTTTACTCAGAAGGTCGTGAGTTCGAGCCACCACACTGGTAGTTGTGGGGCCCCTGAACAAGGCCCTTAACCTTAACCAGGTGTTATAAATGATGTTATTGTATGTCGATAAGGATAAGGGTGGCTGTCAAATGTCGTAGATGTTATGACATATGGTATGTGGCACTAAAGTGTTGTTGTTGTTATTATTAGTAGATATAACTAGAACTGTGCTGCTGTGTCACTGTGTTTCAGTGTATGTTTTATTATACTTTTGAATTATTCTCTACGCCTTTCGTTGTACAATTAAAGTGTCGCCTTGAAGTTTCAACTGGAGAAAAACAAGACCAGTGTGTGTGTGTTTGTGCGTGGGGGTGTGTGGGTGACCGATCGAGACTCTAAAGAAACAGGAATAGCTGCAGTTTGAACAAGTGTGTGTGTGAAAAAACAGGAAGCAACTCACCCCACCAGCCATGCTTCGGTTTCCCTTTCTCAGCGTTCTTCACCTACATTCGCTCAGCTTCTCTTTCGCTTCAAGTATCTGCCAAGGAAACGAGATCATTGACCGTCCAGCGCTTTCTCTGCTGCGCACGGCGCATGTGCGCATGTGCGAGATCATGACGTTTCCTCCTGCTGCTGCGTTGAGCGCTGTGTGGGTTTGTTTATAGCGTGCTTGTAAGGTCAACTTGAACGTTGCTTGCTAAATAGGTTGTAGTTCAGTACATGCTTTGAAGTATAGAATGTTTTATTGTCAGAGGTTTTATTGCTCAGTTGTTTATTGCCAGTTTCTAGCTTTCGCTCTGTTTTCAGGGTTTCTGTGTAACATAGCTAGAGTTAATGCGTCAAGTTTAGTTAACTAACATATCTCAGTTAGCACTGTAAATGTGATGTATTGAATATAAGTTATGTTCTTGGTTGTACAATTTTCCTTTAAATTCATTATAAGTTTGTTTAATGTCATTTTTCTAATATTGTTAAGAACGTTTAATTGCTTATTTGTGCGTTACATGAAAAAAAAAAGTGTTGTGCATTTTGAAAATTAGTTCTGTTTGTTTGGCATACCTGCGTCATGACGTCATTGCACGTCTCGATAGGTGACGCGCCTGTGATGCGCTTCATTAATGTTAAATACAGAGGCAAGGAAGCCATCACTGCAGCGCTCGTCTTTAGTTCGTCATTAATCTTCGCTATTATACTTCTTTTCAGGAGTACTACAAAAACACCTAGCTCTGTTGTTTGGGCAGTTGTTTGGGCGAACTAGGGAAAATACTCCTATTTTTTTTTTCTTTCTTAATTTAATACAGCAATTTTCATTACAAATTATATTAATGACAACAACTTGAGTGAAAATTAGAATCTTTGAAGTATATATTATATTGAATTACAGAGTTTATTAGTATTTGTTTTTTTTCCCCTTTTTGGCTTTAATGACAGTGGGCACTGGAGCTGGCATGGACTCCACAAGTTTGTGCAAAAACCTTATGATCCATTTTAGATCAAATCCATTGGAGTGTCGTCTGAACACATGCTTCACTAGCAGAGATCAGGCATGAGGAAGATCTGACCTTTTGTACAAAGTTAACATGCTCAATATCACTAATTTGCTTACATTTAAATAGGGACCTAGAAATAGTGCAGAACCTTTGGACCCAACCGTATGTTAAAAAAAAAACATACAAAATGAAACGTACCACAAATTTCTAGTTTTCCATGTTCAGATGTTTTGGTAATTAAATCTTTTTTTTTTTTTTTGATGTTCCCCAATACGAGAGTTTGAGCAGTGTTATTTAAGTTGAGCAAAAACAGAAGATTAATAAACATTTGTCTTTCTCATTTAAACTTAAAATAACTTTAATAAAAACAAAAGTTCACTAAAGCCAGTGAGACTATAGTTTCATTTTGTAAATAAGTTTAAAAGGTTTTTAAAAGTTAAAGTGCTAAACAAGAGAATATTTCTCTTTTCTGGTCAGTACAACAAAATAACACAAAACTAAACAGCCAGACAAAAAGCTATGCAGTTGTGTAAGTGTAGACACACTAAACAAGTATTGCAGACTACAGCTACACTTCAAATAATTTCGCTGAATTTTTTAGTATGTGATCAGAGCCGAGTTTCCAAAAGCATCGCAGCACACACTCTCTCTCCCAGTTATGATGATCTTAACTTTGAAAATCATCCAAGTTTATTACATTATGCATTACATTAGCTTAATTTCCAGGTATGATTTATTCCCTGACACTCCAAACGCAGAAGCAGCTGCTGTCTAACATGCAGTGGAACTGCAACCATCAGGAGTAAAACTGTAAGTGCTACTGGATCAGGATATAATTGAACATGTTATCCCATAAGACACATTTTCCTTTTTCACCCTCCCAATTTCATTATACCTTTTCTCATTATTATAGTCCTCTTCTCCTTTACAGCAATACAAATCTGGCACATTGCATTTATTTACACACATTACATGTAAAGTTTGTTACTGTATACATTATCACTCAAGGGTATATTGAGCCTCAGTCATGGTGTAAAGAGCAGCAGGAGATTTTTTCTAGAGACTGAACACTGTAGGTAGTGCAGCGATTAAGGTTCTGTGCTCGTGCGCTAGAGTCAAATCCCAGGACTGTAATTGTAAAATGTCTTCTTCAAAGAAACTTCTTAAGTGAAACTCCACCAAACTGCAGCCAGAACCAAATTCAGCAAATGAAAAAAGATCTAAATTTCCCAATAGTGGATGTCTGAACATTTTCCCCAATGAACAGTAAGTCATGAAATCATCCACAAAATAATAATAATAATAATAATAATAATAATAATAATAATAAAAAAACCCTCAACGACAGAGTTTCTTGGACGTGCAGACTTGTTTTAGTTTAGATAATGTTACAGTTGACATTTCTACCAGCAGTAAGACTGGTAAATTGAATTTACTATGTAGGAGAAACACAGAAAACTCTAGGGTTAATTACAGCTATAGAAAAAACATGACATGCACAAGAAAAATGAACATTAAACATGTCGATTTAAGTCCTAGGTATGTACACTGTAAATGTGTTAATTTGCAATGTGTGTTGGGCCTGGTTAACTTGCCTTTAACAGAAATAGAGGCAGCGGAAACAAGCACTTTTTCTACAGAAAACCAGAAAGAGCCTAAAGTGTCTGCAGAGATAAATGATTTGGGCCAAGAATGATTTGTAGTGGTGTAAGACACTTTTATCATTTATATTAATGGCTTGGTGAAGTCATTCCTAATAAAAGTGGTATGAATAAAAAATAATGGCAGATCACCTGCTCATTACAGCTGTTTCTGTTTTAATAAAACATCCTCCTTCCTCTCCAGCTTTGTGATACATTCAAGGTTGAAATATAGTACATCTTCCTTTGCCCTATTCCTGTAAACAAAATGTGCCACGTCTACTTTTGCATTATAGGTATTTTGCATGGTTAATGACATTTTCGCCTCTTTTGACTATATAACCCTACAACAAAGTGACAAAAGTAGGAAAGAGAACATGGGGGTGTAGGAACACACCTGAAGAAAAGGAGAGAAGTGAAAAGGAGAGAAATGTGTGCAGAGGGAATCCTAGTTTCACTATGAAAAGTAGTCTTAGTTATACATATTATATGAGTGTATTGCATACTAAAAAGTGTATCATTTTAACCTCACTTTTTAAATGTATTATTCCTGCTAGGCTTTTCCGGATAATTTCATTAGAGCACACAAAGACACTACTGCAGCAAGTGACTAAAGGGTTTGGTTTTAACTTATTACATCACTAAACACTATAATCTTTGTCATCAATACACAACCTCTAGTCTATAGGAAAATACAACACTTACAAATACAATACTTTACACAACGACTACTCATAATACAATATACACAATAAAATACTTTTGTTTTTTCTAAGCACAACTCCAGCCTGTAGCTTGTAACCACTGTAAAATACTCATGATCATTACAGCTCCTGTGAATAAACACCATCATAAAAATACACCGCGTGTGTTGCTACATTACAGACATGAACTCCATATAGTCATTTACACAAACTGTCAATGGCAGATATTTAGTTATCAATGGACAATATACTTTTTAAATTGCCGTACTGTATATACTGTATCTCTGTGTATACACTGAGTTACCAGATTATTAGTTATGAAAATATAGTAACTAATAGACTGGCCATATCAGTATGTGAAACACTGAAATATTAAAATACAGAAATAATACAAACAATTATACACCATATAAAAATTATTAAATAGTATCCATTTAAAAAATGTTAACTTTTGCGATGGACCATCTTGCTTTTGTACGTCTACGTCTGTCTTGATTTTGTACATCTTTGTATGTCTACATGGTCAGTAGGTTGAAACTGGCTTTTAAGTACATTTTCATTCTATAAACCCTGGGAGAGATGCCTTAAAGATATTCGTAAACTCAACCAAAATTCATCAAGATCTAAGTGTTCAACACTCATTGAAATTTAAATTAAGTGTCAACAGACCAGTGTAGACTTGGCCAGATGTTTTATGTCTTGTCTTGTGCTTTGTTAATGAAGTTCAACATCTAAACTAATATCTTTAAAAAAACATTCATCATGCATATTAATATACAACAAGTAGGATGTGTGCTTAATATACTATGTGATTACACCGATCAGCCATAACATTAAAACCACCTGCCTAATACTGTGTAGGTCCACCTTGTGCTGCCAAAACAGCTGTGACCCATCGAGGCATGGACTCCACAAGACCTGTGAAGGTGTGCTGTGGTATCTGACACCAAGACATTAGCAGCAGATCCTTTAAGTCCTGTAAGGTGTGAGGTGGGGCCTTCATGGTTCGGACTTGTTTGTCCAGCACATCCCACAGATGGTTGATCGGATTGAGATGTGGGGAAATTGGAGGCCAAGTCAACACCTTGAACTCTTTGTCATGTTCCTCAGACCATTCCTGAACAATTTTTGCAGTGTGGCAGGGCGCATTATCCTGCTGAAAGAGGCCACTGCCATTAGGGAATACCGCTGCCATGAAGGGGTGTACTTGATCTGCAACAAT